GAGAGAGAGAGAGAGAGAGAGAGAGAGAGTAAAAATACACAAGAAGAGCATTGAAGAATAAAAATATCTTGAGTTCGTGTTAACCAGAGATCTTATTTCAAGCATTTAACCAACACACAGTCCGGTCTAAATTTCGATCTCCAGTGATAGTGCCCTCTGGTGGCACTGGTAGGATAACTAAGTGATTGCATCTGTCAAAATATGAAATATACAGAACAGCATATAACCATGCTACTCATGCTGTGTCTCTTTGCAGTAGGATTCTCATTGTTAAATGTTTTTGCTTGAAAATGGCTTTGCTGCTAAACGTGTCTGAGGATTCATAGAGCAGTCCTCTCAAAATCATGAGGAAAAGCTTCATCGTCTTCCTCTTTTTCCGACTTTCCTTTCTTTTTGTAAACCCCCTGTTTTTCCAGGGATTGTTGCTCTCTCTTTCTCTCTTAGATGTCTGACTTACCGAGTTCATCTGTGCGTAATGTTTCAGGGTGAGTGATGCATGTTTTGCCTTTATATGGTTGTAAGGTCTCATATTTGCTCAAAGGTCCCTGCTGTGGCTCACAGTTTCTCAGGGAAACCCAGAGTCATCCAGGCTGCAGTGTACCACAGTCTTACAGTCTGCCTGTTCCAGAGCAGCATAGAATCTACTGTTCATATGAAAACTGTTGAACCAAATGGCAAATAACTAAAGTAGGCAGAAACGGCCCTTTTTGTAAATTAGCAATGATCTATTCACAATACAAAAACAGTCCACTGAAACATACACTGAGAGGAATCCTTGGAAATAACATTAGCATGCATATGCTATGATTTACATTATTATTAGTATTGTTTGCTCCGACAAGCATCATTATTACTATTGATTATGACTCTTTTTTTATTTTTCTTCCTCAAGATTTTTTCCACTTGTGCAATGGGAAGTTTCCATAGATGTTAAAAGTTCTTTATGGAACCAACGACGCCTATAAAGAACTTTTATTGTTAAGAGTGTACAGACATTAATGATAGAGGGCACATGCAGCTTGTGGAGTAGACAATAAATAAAAGGGCATTAATAAAGAGCTGAAAAAATCCAATAGACAGTGAGGGACCCAAGTAATATCACAGAGACTTGGGAATGGGCTGTTTTCACCAGTGAACAACACTCTACTGCAAAAAGCATTGTGTTTGAGATATAACAGTGAGATGTAACCCACAAAATTAAGTTTTGTATATCCAACATCCCTGTAAACTCATATAGCGCAAGCGGTTTGGAGAAGGGATGGCTGGGATATTTAGGTTTGTTTTAAATTGTTATTAGATGCTGGGATAATGTGACATTTTAGATTATTGTTGTATTGTTTTGAATGTTTTAGGTTTGGCAGCATTCTCCAGACTCTTTAAGAACCCAAAAATGTTGAAATTAAAATGTCAATACAATTTCAGTTTAACAAAATTAAAGCAGCACTATTGCTATAGTCGTTGCTATAAAGTTCAGCTATAGAGCTAGTGGTTGCATTCACAATTTCACCTGAACAACAATTATAGGCAAAGAATAAATATAGCCTATTTTAGCTGGACAGAGAACAGAGTGACACACACACAAAAACACCTTCATAGCCCTTCTGTCTCAGACATGAGCAGAGACAGATATCTAGCAATTTATCTCTCCATGGCATAGTAGGTCAGAAATATTTAGACTAAAAAGAGTGATCTTCATGCATCTTTGTCCAGTACCTTTTCCTTTTTTATGTTTTTGAAAACAGCACAGGGGAGATGCAACATTACTGTCCTCTACTGGTTAAATTGTAACTGCTTAACTTCATAGTTATAGAGTGCTTTTAAGTCTTTATTATTCCACTCATTTAATAAACCTCACAATTAAACTAAACCTGTTCGACTTTTAGCCTTACTTTTTGAAGCCAGAAGCTTTGCTACTGTTCGGACACAGTTGCTTACTGCTCCGCGCTTTGCTCCCTATTTATGTACTTTTCTCAGATTTTTTCTAAGATTTTAACGTCAGCAGATCAGCACAGTGTTCAAACAACGCATTTTTGGCACAAACACTAAACTAAAAACTTTCCGGGACTGGAATAATACTACGAAAAAGAAGACTCTTTGCCTCCCACTGCCAGCAGCTTACATTCTGGAGACAGGAAAACACAGCTGCCCACATTCAAACAGAAGAGAAAGAAAATGCCTCTTGTGGAATCTACTTGCTGCATGAACTGCCACAGACTTCTACAAAGGATTGCGGTTCTTGAAACAAAGTTACTTGCTGGACTTCCAAAACAGGCAGAACACTCAGCAGACCGTCGTCACGGACCCCCTCAGCATACAGCCGGTGAGTCCCATGAATCTAGTGAATCTCAACAGTTAATACCAAGCGTAGAGGAACAAGCC